GACCCCCAAACTCCACTTTTTCCAACACAATACCTATGTTCTAGTAAAAATAACATCTTAATTTTATGATGGTACATGCACACAATTAATACTTAAGAGAAATAGAGAAATACAGTCGCCAAGGTAATGTCCATTCAAATAATGGACTCAACTCCCTCCCCCTCTTCTCACACTACACTGCTGGCTCTTCCCTCTCTGAGAAATTTTGGGGGGAAAACCACTAAATTTTAATAAATAATACCTCAAACTAAAGTTAGGATAATACAATTGACATTGCTGGATTCATTGTAAGACCAGGAATATTTTGAACATATAAATGTCATATATTTTGCACAAAAGATAACATAGTTAATTTGAGAAAATTTTTTATCTAAAATTTGTATGTCTAATGCAAAAATATGATGTTTATATTCAAAATGATCATCAAATTATAAGAATTCCAGCAATGTAAATTATATTCAGACCGGGTAATTTGTATGAATTTTATGAGCTAAAACAAATATCTTCAGTTAATAAAAAAAAAAAAATAATTCTTCACAGGGTAACAGATGGTCGGTCGGTCCCTCCCTCCCCCCCACCCCCCACCAACCGTCCCAAGGAGATGTGTGGGATAACCACTAAATTTTAATAAATAATACCTCAAACTAAAGTTTGGATAATATAATTGACATTGCTGGATTCCTTGTAAGACCAGGAATATTTTGAATATAAATGTCATATATTTTGCACAAAAGATAACATAGTTACCTAGAGAAAAAATTTTATCTAAAAATTGTATGTTTAATGCAAAATATATGATGTTTATATTCAAAATGATCACCAAATTATAAGAATTCCAGCAATGTAAATTATATTCTGGCCCGGTAATTTGTATGAATTTTATGAGCTAAAACAGGCAGTCAGGCAGGGTGGCGGGTGGGGCAAATCTAAAAATAGCGTCTCGAGCCGGACACTCACGCGTATATGTGGAAAAAATCCGTGTTAAGTGAAAGTTCAGCTCTGGCGAGGCACCACGTATATGATAAAACGTGTTAAGTGAAACAGCGATTAGGCGGGGTAATACTGTGCACAACTTAGCACCACTTTAAAAGTTGAGATGCATTCTGAAGGAATTTTTGGGGGCCCAAAAATGTGACACAAGCACATACAGTATATGTATGAAATTAGACGGTTTTAACCACATAGAATGAGTATTCATGGCGTAACAATCATAAATGAACAAAACACTCGAATTTTACTTACCAGAAACAATGTCGAGTGCTGCAGGAGGTCATGAGATCAGAGTTACTGGGACTTACCTCCTTAAAATATCAATTTAATGTTCAATGTAAGTCCTTAATGGAACCTTCTATCACCATTGCTTTCACTTAAACTTGGTGGTCTTTTTGCACTTATCTTGAATAAGGGTAAAAGTAACACAGACACATAACTGAGCACAAACTGGGGAGGTGAGCCTCAGAATCCACACAAAATAAATGTTATAATTTCTGTGAAATTTTTTTTCATCATGATTTTTTCTATTGAAAATATTTATAAATTAACCAAAATTCCATAAGGGTGAATAAAGTCTGAAACACAGACGAATAACTGAACACAAGCTGGGGAAAGAATTCTGACTGAGCAGCTCCATTGTAGTGAACACTGGAAACTGGGGGAGATGAACAGCCTTCCAACTGCCTTGTTACCACCACAGATGCATTCACGCTTAATATTTTTTATTATTTTTGTAAACAAAATTATTACAAATTGCAATTTTTTTTTATTTTGAAAACTTTTCAAAATTCAGGAAGGAAGAATTTTTTCTGTAACCCCAAATTAAGGTCTAAATTTGTAAATTCCATAAGGGAGTAATTCCATAACCAGAAATTCTGTAACCCAGGAGATGCCTGTACAAGTTCACTTCCACAAAATGTAAATAAACGAAGCTCACCTCCAAGGATGCCATCATAATCATTGACAAAAATGGATGGGTTGGATGCCCTAACCTATATATGGAAACAGTGGTCAACACAAACTGTCACTAATGAGTGGAGAAAAAAGAAATTACAGCAGCTTTCACTTTTCACTGTACAGTACTGAGCTGTTTGTATGTTTTAAGTAGCACCACAAATTTAGGGCAGTACTCTTGTCCATAAAAAAGGTATTCACTTCATGGAAAAATGCATCAAATCAACCTGATCACTGCTCTTTACTCCCCCCTCTTGCCTCATTTGGACATAACTAGCAACTTTCTGAATGGTAAATTTAATTTCATCCACAAATTAACTTGGAATACCCAACTTTTTGGCCAAAATAACCTACACCATAATCAGAAAACTTGAACAAAAACTAACACTTACCGGCACTTCAGGTGAAGGATGAGGATAATTCAAGTTTGTGGTGTCAGCGGTGATGGGGGACTCACTGCACTACACTATATACAGTACAATTCTGTACTGTATTGTAATCACTTACAGAACCAGCTTTAAATGTTATTATTCACTTAAGACACTACTGTACATGTATACTGGTTAAATTTTCATTGTGGGTGGAATAGCACTTTGTATAAAATACCTGAAAATAAGTAGAGTGACTGCAGGTGGGTATCCTTTCACTAGGTCTAGACTCATAAACTGAGCGGCTGACCCAGAAGAGCCTCCAACGCATCCCGCGTGGGTCCCACGTGTTACACCATTCCAACATTGTGTAATCATATCTCAGAATATTGTGAGATATGTATTAAATATTTTTTATGCAAAAATAATTCCAAAATAATTTACAAAAGAGTATTTTACCACCATTCAGAGATACTGTATATCATATTACAAGCTATCAATGGTTTACTGAAGTGAATTTACCGAGTCTTCAGTAAAAAGAAGCTTAAAATGTGAAATACTGTATGTGTATTGCAATTACTGACACAAAAACAATGTTTAAACAAAACAAAATAATAATTTTTTGTTTTAATAATCTTCTTAGGAAGGGGATTATCACTCCTCTTAGGCACCAGTCAATCTTTGACCCCTTCTCCCAAACCTTTTGTCTGGTTTCTGGCTTTGCCCCAAATTTTATCCCATGAGTCTTTAAGTGATAAATTCATAATTATTATTTTTTTATTGGGCACCCCCCTACATCCTTGTGTAAGGTGAAGCGCAGAAGCGTTTACAGTGCCCAACAGGGAAGCATGTTAAGTTCATGCTTGCCTTTATATCTCATGAGTTAAGGGTGTAGAAGCCTGAAGAGTCAATGGTTTATGTCATCAAGTTATTGGAAGCTCCAACAACTTGTCCCTGAATACGAATTCGCAACTTTCGACTTACAACAGGTACCTACTTTACTGCTAGGTGAACAGGGACTAATGGGCGCTAGGAAGTATGTCCAAACAACTTCCACCGGCCCGGGAATCGAACCCGTGACTTCTCGCTTGCGAAGACAAGAGCGGCACCACTCTACCACCAGCACCCCCATAAATTCATAATGACCTAAACAAACATCTCAACAGAAAATGACGAGGTTTGTGGTCTCTTATTTCATTATAAGAGACAGAATAAGTTTCTCCAACAAGACATCCAGTTCCTTTTATACAAGCAAACTAATGGCTTCATTTTTGCAAATTCATAAGGTAAAGTCATGGATAGCTACAATACTTACCTTGTGATATCATCTGCACTCATTAAACGTAACTGCTGGAAACAGTTTCAAGAAAATTGGCTAAACCTGATGGACTCTCGGAGCCTTTTCCCAAGGAAGTGGTGCCTTAAAGGATAGACACACTTTTGACCAAGACAAAACAAGACTGCCACAGTTACTAACCATGCAATGTGAGTGAAACACAAAGCTAAAGTACTCAGTTCAACACAAGGAAAACTTATTTTCTTCAAATTAACCAGTAGCTCACTTACCTGTACATTTCATGGTGAAGTAATAACAGTAGAAATCAGGTGATGTCTGCATCCTGTGATAATGACAGCTGCAGGTCTTGTGATGGATGAGGTGAAATGTTTGGGTTGGTGTTTCCAGATAGCTCTATTGCTAAAGAATTCTCACAAGGAAGAAAAGACATTTTACTGAACTTGGCATGACCTGAAATGTTTTTGACAGCATTGCTGAAGAAGTTCAAGTTGACCTAACTTCTTCAAATATCATCCAGCAAGAAGAGAAGACTTCACACCAAGCATCAAGTTGAGCTAGGCATCGCTGGTTATGTTTTACTTCAAAATGCTCCTTCAAGATAATTTTCAGTGGACTAGTTAAGTACTTCAAATCTTGCATTACATACCACAAAGAGATCCACCAAGTAGTGCTTGCCTCAAGAAACTCTCTTCCAAGGTGCTGCAGTATCCAAAATGAATGTTGGTGAATACCCTGTACAGTTATTCCAAACAGAGGCACCACAAATCCACATTCTGTAAAAAACACTGAGCTCTTACCCTAACTTCTACTCTGCCCTGTTTAGGTACAAGTGACAAATTCATAAAAAACCCACAAGATCTTCAATTTATTTAAGATAAAGAAGACTAATCAAGTACAGGAGAGAGCTATGGCCTCAAATAAAAACTTCAACTTCTTCCACAGAAAATAAAATAAAATTTATGCTTTTTATATATCACTTCATTTAATTATGATACTGTACTGAACTTTTATATTCAAATAATTGAAGTACAGTTCCAGAACATGAAACATACCTGAGTTGGGCAACATATCTAAATAATGTTACTGAGGACCATGACATGATTACATAAAAGAAAAAATGTTGAGGACAATGACATTATTACATAAAGGTAAAAGGTTACTGAGGACCATGACATTATTACATAAAGGAAAAAAACATAACCATTAAACTTTTTGTAACAACAAATTTAGCACTCAAAGTCTTTTATTTCAAACATAAAATAATTCTTTTACATTACATATCAAACTTAGACAAGCAATTGAAAGGAAACAAAACAATATTTGCCCATTCCTGTCCCTTACCATATACAGTATAGTAGAGCACTTGTTAATTAAAATGTTATACTGCAGTACATATCTACCCATTAGCTGTTACCTTTTCCCATTCCTATGTGAAGTGTTGGATTAAGGACATAAACAAACCTCACACAAAGGGGATGGGAAAAGCAGTTGGGGCGAAAATTTTATGAAAAAAAATAAATAAAACAAAGTAGAAAATACTATCCTGTATTATATATCAACATAAAAGGAGTCACTACAGTACTGGTGAATTAATCAACACATCTCTAGTTCACAGGACTACTGTACTGTACTATGAGATTGAAATTTTTTCTATAAATTGAACGATTTCAACAGACGGGAATAAAAATATACCCCTTAAATAATCTGACACCTTTGAAAATGGTACAAAATAAAGATTACTGAACAATGGCAGTTGCATATGATTTCCAACTGGTGGGAAAAAAAAATATTCAAATAATACAGTACATCCAAATTTGAGCATTCTGGAATGTTCAGAGGCATCAAGTACAGTTCAGATTTGATGCAATATAGGAGCGTATATAAATGAAGCTGTTGTCATTATGAACCTTAAGTCTGGTATTTATGAGATTCTTTTATCACGTTGCTTTCCTGACCGACGCCTTCTCAGCTTTGCCGTCAGAGTGAGGTCATTCCACTGACATATTATTTGAGACAAAAATATCACACTTTGATTTTTGCAAAACTTTAGTTTATACAGAAGGAAAACACTTTATGCGAGGATATTCAGTTGATATGAGGGAGCGGAGTCCAGTCTTGTAGTATCAAAATATGCAAATGAAAGTTGAATGTTGATGGAGTCTTACCAGTTGTAAGGACAGCCGCTGACCCAGTGACCACGACGACCTAAAAGATACGAAAAGCATAAAAAAAACATGTAATCAAGTTCTGGTGCAAAATAATACAGCATCCACAGTTTTCATAAGAGTACATATCCAAATATTATCTAGAATGCCCAGACAGTTGCAGGTACCCCTTGCTTAACAAATGGGTTAGGTTTCTGGAAAACCATTTGTCAGGTGAATTTTTGTATCTCGAACAAATGGGAAAAAAGTGGGCTTGGTTCCCCGACGACAAGAAAACTTGTACTGTGTAATACCCCCAAAACATGAAATCAGTTCACGAACAAAAACCTACCTAACTAATGAAAAATAATACCCGACTACTGTACTGTAACTTACTACTTTACACATTAAAAATATTAATAAAATAATATCTGAATGAAAATATGCAGCTAAATACATTTAGGAAGAGCTAAATGAAAGTTTAACACAACCACCATTTGCATAAAACTTGACTGTGTGGCCTTAATACTGGCCACAGCAATGCACGATTTAAATTTTTTGCTGGGACCAAAATTCGTATAAGCAAGGGTAGCTTTTGTTAAATAAGAACGATGTATTAAATTTGGAAATTCGTATAAGCAAATTTTCATATCTCGAGCGTTTGTAAAGGAGGGGATACCTGTACAGTGTTCACATCTATCAAGTGTATTACAGATTAATGAACTTTTTCAGAATAAAATTGAAATATCTGCTGTTAGAAAATAATGATGTAACTTTTTTCTTAATGTTTCTCCCTCTAGTGTATCCTTGCCCACTACTGGTGCTGGGTGGTCAGGATTGAGAGCAGCATACAGTACTCTCTTTCTTCATATACTTTTCTAACTGATACAACAAATGTTTTCTCTCCCAGTGTTCCTCTCCCACAACAAGACCGAAAGATATCATCAGGCTTAACTATCACTTCCTACATCCTAGTTTTACAAGTCTAAATGTCTGTGAATATATACCTTTCATTACAGACAAGGAAAATATCTAACCCCTGAATATGTCTAAATTCACCAATCCAAATATGGCAGAATATATTCTGAAATAATTGAGTGAAATAATTGAACTCACACCACATATATTCAGTCTATACAATATTGTACAGTATGACTTTCCTATTCATTACTTATCTCAATGAAATTTAAGAAATGTTCAACACTGCTTTTAAATGCTCAATGCCTAATCTTCTTTCTTGTCAATTATGAATTCTTAGATCGAACAAATAAGCTGTGGAAGGAGAACAACACAGCTCAACACATTTGCTATACTAGAGTAATTAAAAATACCAAAGGACATATTCACACCATTTACAAACTCATACAATTGGAAAAAAAAAGTTGATTTATCACTGATTGCATCAACAGAATAATCCTACCAGGCATCACCATGACTGCCCATACATACAGTAAACCCTATAAACTGCCTAAAAATTGTGATAGAGCTAAACAAGAGAAGGTAAGTGTATACAGTATATACAATATACAAAAGAAAAAAAAAATTAATAATAATAGTGATATCTCCGTTAGTCAGAACAATCGGTGTGGAGCACTTCCGGGAATGAGAGATTTCCAGGTATCGAGACGACTCTCAAAGCCAGAAAGAAATCCCTCATCCCCGGAATTTTCCGGGTAACGGAATATTTTTCTTGGAATTTCCAGAAAATACGCCCGATTCTCATCTCTCATACCCGAAAAAAACTCCCGTCCCCAGAATTTTTTGAGTATCGGGAAAATTTTCGTGGAAATTTTCAGAAAATTTAAATTCCGGCTATCGGAGAACTCCGGGTTTGAGGGATTCCGGCTAACGGAGATATTACTGTAATTTAATATCCTCAAAAAAGTGGGTCAAGAGCTGACACATGACCTAGACTAACACCTACTCAGTGTGCCCAGATAAATTCTTTGTTGAGATTTGTAATGAATTTCTTTTTCATACTGTCGTAAAATATCTCCCTATTCTAGAAGCTGACCCCTGATGTAGTCATCCTGAATGTGAATTACAATACAGTTGGTCCTCACATTACGCGGTTAATGTAACCCAGAGGGTCCCGCGGAAAGTGAATAACATAACATATGGGATTAATTGAAATGGAGTCCAGGCCGATCCCCAAACTCCACTTTTTGACGACACACAACTATGTTGTAGTAAAAATTTTATCTTAACTTTATGATGGTATGAAAAAACAAGTAATATAGAAGAAGTTAGGTTAGGAAAGATAAAGGTTAACATAGGAAAAATAAAGAATAGGTTAAAAAACTAAAAATTTTGTGGAACACTTACGGTAGTAGAAGAGATGGGTCGGCATACGGGGATGGAGGCTGGTTCCGAGGCAGAGGGCAGATTACTGGCCCTCAGGTGAATCACCATTACTAGGTGAATCATCATCACTGTCACTTACAGTTGTCAGGGCTTCCCTGACAAATCCCTCAAAGTCAACTTCACTGTCACTATCACTGGCTTGGGCTGGCTGTGGTGGGTTGCGGGTGAAGAAATCTGTTATGCTTTGCTGACGGCTGGCGTTGATGTTGTCGTGATACACCGTGATGTACGGCTCCATAGCCTGCACCAGCCGGTTATGGAAGACTTCATAGCGGTCATCGTCATTGTCGCGGGAAAGGACGGACTTAATTTTCTCTGCAAACTCCATGGCACACTTAATATCACTATGACTTAAACTGTGTTCTTCGGAGACTGACGCACCTTCTTCCTCCTCTTCACTGACGTGTTCTTCTTCCAACATCTCGTCGGCAGTCACTTCAGGATTTCTGATCACCTCCAGGATGTCGTCGTTGGTGGTCTCGGAGAAGCCTGGAACTGTAACAGTCTGCGCAGCTTCTCTGGCAAGGTCCACTGCTACTGCAACATTCTGAACCTCACCAGTCACAGATTGACTCCTCCTCTCACCTGGTATTCCATGCAACACATGTCTCCATGCGTGACGAATTGTAGCAATAGACAGCTGATCCCATGACTCCACCAAGATGTCCACAGCTTTCTTGATGTTAAATATTCTCCAGAATTGTTTGAAGAGTATTTTTTGCTGTTCTAACCGTTGTTCCTCATCTTCGTCGCTCTTGCTATCGGTGGTGGTGTCACTCAGGTCACGCAACTCTTCCCTGGTGTTGGTGTAGTCGTTCAGGAGCTGGAATTTTTTTGTTGAGAATGCAGCTTTCACATTGCAAATCAACTCCTGGTCCATGGGCTGTAATATAGACGTAGTGTTCGGAGGAAGGAAGACCACTTTTACGTTGGGGTGACGATCTAACAGTAGGGGCGAGTGTCCTGGTGCGTTGTCCAGCAGCAACAAAATATTAAATGGGACATTCTGTTGCTCACAGAATTTTTTACATCGGGAACAAAACAGTCATCAAACCAGGAGAGGGACAGTGTAGAGAACATCCATGCCTTACGTGCTGTCAGCCAGTGGACATTTAGCTTGGTCATGTCCATGGTTTTGTAGGCGTGCGGCTTGCGGGCTGTGTGGATCACCGATAACTTGAGCTTACAGGTACCGGAGGCATTGGTGGCAGACAATACGGTGATGCGTTCCTTCTGCATTTTCCGGCCCCGAATCCTGCTGGCATTCTTCACAATGTAGGACTTGGAAGGTAGTTTTCTCCAGAAAAGACCAGATTCGTCCATGTTAAACACCTGGTCGTCGGTGTACTGTCCTTCCTCCATAATCTCACGTAAAAACGGAGGAAATTCCCGAGCCGCAGCACGATCAGCACTCGCTTCTTCACCACCAATGTTTATATTGGTGATCTTGTTCCGGATCTTAAACCTCTGTAACCACCCAGAGGAAGCAGTAAAGGGTTTGGGCTCTGAAGTTCCCATCTTTCGTGCCACTGCCATGTACAGTTCACGTGCGTAGTCCTTCACAGAGCGCGTGTCGACCGCCATGTTGCGTCGCGCCTGACGCACCAAGTACCTCACAAGTAATTTTTCTGTTTTGAGAAGCACCCGGTTGTGAAAATACTTGATCATAGAAGCACCTGTAGACTTTGTGATCTTCATGTGCTCCTTTATCTTGGCTGAATCCTTCTTTATAGTCCGGATCGTAGATTCGTTGACGCCATGCTGGCGCGCGAGATCAACTTGCCGTGTTCCTTTCTCCAAATCTTGAATAATTTGGTACTTCACCTCGTAGCTTAAGGAACGTCGTGTCCTCTTTGGCTTAGTGCCGCTGGGTCCAGGTAAGGAAAGGTTTTTCTCTGGGGGTGGTGGTCCGGCGGAAGCCATTTTACGGAACAATGGATGCGCGATAACACGGAGTGGCCTTGAGGGATGAGACTGTCGCGGCTAGGTCAAGCGTCGTCTCTCCTCCCTCCCTCCCTGCCCCGGGTGGACACGTCATAATACTTTAAGCCAATTACAGCTAGCAGCAGAGGAGGGTAGGGATGCATGGCCAATCACAGGTCTGATACGTCATATGACGTCAGTGATAACGCAACAAAGACACACTGCGCAACCTTACCGCGCCGCTTGCCCAAGCGGAGGGAGGAGGAGGAGGGAGGAGGAGGGAGAGGCAGGCAGGCGGGTGGCGCGTGAGGCAAATCTAAAAATAGCGTCGCGCCGGACACTCTCCGCGGAATGGCGTTCGCGACCGCGAAATGTGAAAATGTTAGGTTCTGGCAAGGCACCGCGGTAACGGTGAAACGCGGATTGCGGGACCGCTTAATGTGAGGACCAACTGTACATTATTTTATGTTAGTCCCTAAACTGGTAATGCATAAAGGATAATGTTATACAGTACTGTCTTTTGTAAAGTATACAAACAATGATAAAGTTTTTGTGCTTACATGGGTACTTTCACTAGGAATAAGGAGTTAAGAGGTGTTGAATGAATTAAAATATTTGGAATCAAGTTTAACAAAGGCTAGCAATGACAGTAGAACTGGAATGAAATTTGGTGGTATCCTGTGAGCCTTAGTGACGAGAAGGAATAAGCCTCCAATGTATGAGTAAATATTGTAAGCAGTAAAAATATCATGAAGTATAGTACAACAATATCAAAATGATTATGAGGATAGAAAAAGAAAATGTGAGAAATAACTGAAGGGTGTGGACATGTGGGAGATTCAGAAGGGTACAGTGCAATGAAAAGTATAGCTAGTGACTAACCTAAAATTCTAGAAAGAATTCAGTGTGTAGGTTGCAGTTCATGTGGACCTCAATCTAAACTAATCTACAAGCCTGGGACCCATTACAACTGACCCCCAAACCAAATGGAAAGGTTAGGTTGGGCCCATTTGGCCAGGGACCAGCGCAGTATGTTATGGGGACAAGCAAGACGTCCAACAGACCAATAACCTTAAAAATAACCATAACACATTCAACCATGACAAAAATCTTGAGTTTTACAGCTTTTCCTAACAATTAGTTCGATCTTCACCCCATATTGTTGAGAAAAGAGCAAGACTATTAATACATATTCTAAAGAGTGAGAGATCTCAGCTTTGTGTAAATGTTACATCCAATTTAATACATAGTATTTAGAAAACAAGCTATATATAAGTTGGCCAAAATTTCTGAGAAAAAGGAAACACACACAGTGGCTTGTGCATAGAGTTAATGAAAGAATTTTACAAAAGCAAGACTGAGAAGTGGCCACTCTTATCATAAGCCCTTGAACTAACACATCACCTCAGGGATGCGGACCCATGTGAGGGAACAACGTATACAGTATCTGGGTATTAGTAACTTAGTACAGTACAAGTTCATGTTATATCCATGTTTAGAAACTTATCTGGTAACTCAGGAATAGTTAGATTCTTGTCACTCTTATGGGTAATAAAGTTTCTAAAGACTTGAAAGGTATGAAGCGAGTAAATAAAGATCCATAATGTACATACATCTCTATACTGAAATAATAGTGCCATGTACTGCACACAAAGGTAAATGGAGCATGGAAAAATCTAAAAATTCACCATGAGTGACCTACCACACTTTATATTGCGATTGAGGGGGGGAAGTTACATGTAGAATTCCCTGATGCATTTCACCCAATGACTATCTTTGCATAAAAGACCATGCACCAATATAAAAGATTGGTGGAAAACATTACATTCTGTTTCAGCATCACATTAGTGTAGCAGTTGCCACCTGCAGTTTCAAGTGAATGCATCTCATTTTCTCCCCCCCCCCACTATGCTGTTTCCATGAATAAACAAAGCTAGCAACTCAACCACACATAAAATGTGGGGAAAACAATTCGGGCTACCTCAAAAAAGAGCTACAAATTTCTTAATATACTGTAACTATTTTGAACTATACATACCACAGTTGAAGCACCGCCCATAACCCCCATAATAACTTTCATCCCCCGACAATGTGGATGAGTCTGAATCCGTGAAATCATCGCTGTTCCTCACTGTTATTGTTCCTGAAGTCCCAGGTACAGGAGACTGTGGCTCATTTCTTTGAGGCTGGGGGTTTCTTGTATCAGGAGGATGTCCAGTCTGGTTTCCTCCGGTTTGTGATCGGCCTTGTCTTTGACTCACTCTGTAAGTTGAGAGTGGTTCATTAGCTCCTAATACAATGGGATCTTCTGCAGCACCCAAACCACTATTAGCTCGCATGGATGGTCTGGCTGCCGGCCTTCTCAAGGTTCGACTGCTCCGAGAACTGTCAGTAGCAGTAGATCCTCCAGGTGCTTCAATTCCATTATTAGGTGACGGATTGCTGCCACCTCTGCCAATCCCGGGAGGAACTACTGAATCAGATATACCTTGCCTTTGATGTACTGGTAGACTCTCAATTATTGGAGCAGTACGTCCTTGTGGAATATTCGTCCTGCTATTATTATCAACTACACTCACAGCTTCTTCTTGAAGAGGGAGTATGATGATTTGAAACTGAGCATGATCCTCCCATCTGTAAAAATACCACCAAATAATTTTCTTAGTTAAGCTGCTGACATTATCTTTAACTAAAGAATCAAATTAAAATAAAGATAAAAGAAATTATTCTCCTTTAGGAAAGCCAAACACATAAATCCCACTTTGAAAAAGAAAAGTAACTTGTGGGAGACCTTTTGGAGATAAGCTGTAAGCAAGATGACAGTAATAGTTATATGCTCATTTGTATCATACATCCAAATTTTTTGGGGGTACACAACAGCATTATGCCAGGAAAACTTTACAAACATTAAACATTGGCACAGTCTCTCAAAAAAGTATCTGTCCACACACTATATGAAACATTATGAGACCACAGATGATAGATACTAGGACATGCATTTACTTTGGTCTATAGTTTAACATAAGTACAGTACGCCTGGATAATTCGCAATTTCTATTTTGCAGTCCTTGATTATTTGCGGATGACACCCTGGATGTACAGTGCTCAAGAATGTCTGCAGGTAGTTTTAAATTTGCGAACATTTTTGCGGCCGGGACAGGGAGCCATTCATTCTACAGTCAGTAATTTCCTTTACCTGTACTATTGTATATAATAATACCTGTAATACTAAAAATAATAATAATAATAATAATAATAGTAATAAACAGTTTATTCATAGAGTTGCAGCCAGTGGCTGAAAAAATACAGACTTACATTTGATTTAGACATAATGATATAATATTCATTGAATACATTTACAGGGCTGTACAGTACATAAATCAGGAGTTGTTTATTATTTTAACAATAGATGGGATGGTGCTGTTCTTGTATCTATCAGTGCAGGCTCTTATGGGCTGAATTTTGTTATAGTGGCGGACTGCGCGTGGTGGGTGGGGGGCTGCCGGTGGCAGGAGGTGGCGATGACGAGGGTGGTGCATTAGTTGGCTGCCAAACCTTTCCAGTGCTTGGTGGTGGAGGTCACTGAGGGATGGCATTTCCAGGGTGAAGAGAGCGTTGGTGTAGCCTGAGTATTCTGAGCCAAGCATGATTCTGCAGGCCCTTTTCTGTACCTTCTCTAGCTAACGATGTTGGGTGGAGTCGAGAGAAGACGACCAGGCTGGTGACGCATACGTTAGTGTGTGTGTGTGTGTGCGTAGACACAAACACATACACGCACATATATCTGTATATACAATACAGGTAAAAGAAATAATTGTCCTAAGGGCAAACACATAAAGGGAATACACATTTCTTTGTACATAAGTAAAAATGTACCCCCCCCCCCCATCCGCAAATGTTATTCACGGATTTGGTGATTCGCGGCCATTTTAAGAACCTAACCTCCGTGAATTTGAAGGGCATGTTGTAATGCAAGGTGTATTTTGGCGTAATTAATATGATGTTCGGTTACCAAATGTAGTAGAAACAGAATGCCACAGAGTCACGCATCCCAACCTTCCCGAAACATCACAAGTTGCATGTAGCATTTCCGAAGTCAATGGACCCGTCCTAGCAGATACTGTCCTTTTTAACAATACTGTACAGTACATCCATGGAAGTAGAAGAAAGTTAAGATGAAAAATAAATAAATTACTTTAATGCACTATGTGGGGTGAGCAGGATGCAGATAATGTGAAATATGGAAAGAAGTTAATGTAAACGCAAAGGAAATGTTTGGATAGACAGCCAATCACGGTCTTTGAAAGTTAGGGTACCAACCAGCATTCTTCAGGTGGTAGACCACGCAGAAAATGTGAAGCAAAAAGTTTGATACTGTACATAATTCAGAAGCAAATGCTTGGAAAAAGACAGAGAGGGAAGAACAGGTTAAGGTAGGTGCCATATGGGACAGACAGGAATAAATGATGTGTGTATGCATGTTTTTACAGCAATGTGTCAACTGATCTATGATGAACCACAAATCAGACAGCAGTTAAAGAAAATAAATGACAGCTTATAAAGGAAAAGTTTGTACAAATTTCAATTCTAGCAGCAAGACAAGGAGAGGACTTGCAAAGGTGAGGAAAAAACTGCATGCAAAGTTTAAGGTCAAATGTACTGATAATTCTTATGATTAAAAATTAACAGACACAAAACTTCAGCTGCACATTCCACTCTTCCAGTGCCAGTCTATACGACATATTTGACAGTAGCCAAGTAGTACTTCTGTAGTTAATACAGTCAGCCCTTAACATATGCGGGTTTAGCTTACACGGATTTGCAAACACGCGGATTGCCGCTGGAGGAATATACATTCAAAGGAATATACATTATTCAAATCACGTGCGACACCACACACACACACAAACACACATCGCCCGCGCCACCCCGCGTTCCCGCGCTCGCTCCGTCAGTCAGTTTCGCTGTAACCACGCTTGTGTTGACATCAGCATTGTAGTTGCAAAAATATTACATTTCCGTGAATGATTATATCAAGCACAGTATGAATAGAATATCTCTAATATAACAGTATTTTAACCGAAAACTATTGAAAAACGAGTAACATATCTTGAACATCGGAAGGCTAGGTAAAGTCTTGTTTTCATGTAGTTTATCCTAATTTACATTGAAATACATTACGTTTCAGCAAAACTACTATTTATTTCTGAGAATATGGAAATGTAATATTTTTGCTGAAATGAAGTACGTATTACAGTGGAAAGTGACGAATCATTGACTTTCGCTTCTTTCGTTCAAAAGATGTTACCGTAATCGCTTTTCGAATGGTTTTCAGTTAAAAAACTGTTGTATTACAATAATATTCCATCCTAATTCACTTGTGATGCAACAGTTTTTTAACTGAAAACCATTCGAAAAGCGATTACGGTAACATCTTTTGAGCGAAACAAAGCGAGTCATTGTTTTCGTCACGATTTTATCCCACTTTCCACTGTAATACGTACGTCATTTCAGCAAAAATATTACATTTCCGTGAATGTATTATATCAAGCACAGTATGAATAGAATATCATTGTAATATAACTATTTTAACCGAAAACTATTAAAAAAACGAGTAACATCTCTTGAACATCGGAAGGTTAGGTAAAGTCTTTTGTTTTCGTCATGTATTTTATCCTATTTTACATTGAAATACATCACGTTTCAGCAAAACTACTATTTATTTCTGAGAATATATTCATTCAGGTGCAGTTTAGGTAAAATATACGTGTGATGTAACAGTTTTTTAACTGAAAACGATTCGAAAAACACGTACCCTCTAGCACTGTTCAAGGAGAAGACTGGGAGGAGCTGTTTGGTGCTTTAGACGATGACAAGGAAAATGATTTTGGTGGATTTTAATGAAAACATTCAGAAATATGGTATCGTACTATTTATTCAAGCGAATTAGGATAGAATATTATTGTAATACGACAGTTTTTAACTGAAAACCATTCGAAAAGCGATTACGGTAAAATCTTTTGAACAACGAAAGAAAGCGCGTCATTGTTTTCGTCATGATTTTATCCCACTTTCCACTGTAATACGTACGTCACTTCAGCAAAAATATTACATTTCCATATTTATTTCTGAGAATATATTCATTCAATCACAGTTAAGGTAAAATATACTTGTGATGTAACATTTTAATGAAAAGACCCGGTATTTAGAAATACGGTATCGTAGTTTTCTTTTGTTTCAAATTTAATTAACAAAGATTGATGTTTCAAATATAATGAACAGAAATTTATGTATCTATAAATAAACTTTAAAAAATGAATGCGTTATGTTTTACATCGTCCTGTGCTACCGTACCATGCATTTGGCTACTTTGGGCTTGCTATGATGATGCAAGAGATCTGCCCTGGCAACTGTACCAACACTCACAGCTGGTGGTGCGTCGTTTCCATTGTTTACTGGTAGTTACTGGTAAATATTTTTCTACCAAACAAAACTATTACCCGTTTAGAGGTCGACCCCCAATTTTTTGCCAAAAAATTTGATCTTAAAAACTCGAACTACACACATGTATATACGGTAAATAAGGACATGGGGGCCATGGGTGTTTTTAGAGGCAGCAAAAATAAGCGGATTTTTAACATTCAAGGGTATCTCTGTTACCTAACCCCCATGTATGTTAGGGGCAGACTGTACTATTATCGATGTTCACTTAACATCACATTTTCATAAAACCATCAAGTAAAATAAACTATTATTGAAAACAAAGCTCAGTCACTAACATTAATGTGTAAAAAAAAAAAAAAAAAAAAAAAAAAAAGTAAAAGATTATCATATCCAAATTATCAAAAAATCCCTGAAACACAAAGTGTTGATGGGTTACAAAGCATGACACTAAAAACATATCCAAAGTCTGTATAATATTTTTCCAAGTAATTTCCTTTCTGAATAGTTAAGCAAATGTAAAACAGCACTTTTCAAACAAGAATTTGCCAGATGTAGCCAATCAAGATTTATTCTTCTCTTTATTTTAAAAGGGTTTCCCTGCTAGATGCAATCCCATTTCTTTAATTAATTTTTTGGTAATCTCAGTTAGCCTCTTCCAGTTAATAACACATGAGGCAGCACAAAAATAAAAGATACTTATCCTGTTGCTCTCTGAGCAGTGTGTTGGCCTGGAGAAGATGCAAGTGACTAAAATACACCAGTCATATGGGCATGTTTTTCATGAATATAATGTGGTAAGAAGGCAATATCTCCGTTAGCCGGAACAATTGGTGCAGACTACTTCTGGGAATGAGAGATTTCCGGATAACGAGACGACTCTCAAAGCCCGAAAAAAACCCTCATCCCCGGAATTTTACGGTACCGGAAAAATTTTCTCGGAATTTCCAAAAAAATGCGCCTGAATTTCACCTCTCAAACCTGGAAAAAAAACTCCCCCATCCCCAGAATTTTCCGGGCATCGGGAAAATTTTCTCGGAATTTTCCAGAAAATGTGCCCCTCGGAAAATTTAAATCCCAGCTATTGAACGGCTCCCTGTCCCGGCCACAAAAATGCCAGCAACTAAAAAACTACCCTAAGATATTCTTAGGTACAACCAGGGTGTCATCCGCAAATATTCGAGATTCGCGAA